TAATATATTTATATATATATATTATATATATATATTTATATCGTATATATATATTATGTATATATAATATATTATATATATAATATATATATATTTGTATTCTTTGTATATATATATATATATATATATATATATATATAAGCAAATATATGGATATAGATCCGATTATGAAGAAAAATATACAGAAAAAACAAACAAAACTCTTAAATCCGACGTTGACTTTTATATTAACATTAATACAGCATAATTGCATATTAAGATATTTTGTTTGTTTTTCTGTATATTTTTTTCATATATCTATATCTATATATATATATATATATATATATATATATATATATATATATATATATATATATATATATATATAAAATAGGTCTGTTATTTTACATTGAGCATTGATCTTTCTTACACTTTAGAGTATTTATATGTATTCGTATACGATCGCTCGCTCGAATATATTTTTTACTTATATACTTTAATTTACTTATATTTACCCATTTAGTTTCGACGTATGAGGATTTGACCTTTAATCCCATTGATTCAGTTATGAATTTTGTGCGATAATCTGAAGAGGAACTTAAGACCCGCAAATGATTTGCAAAGGAGGCCGCACGTGGAGCAAGAGTGAGGATTCTGGGATGAAATCACTGTTAGATTGGCTGATGTTTTAGATCTTGCTCTTGCTTCTTGAAGACGATTCAGACTAGTAGATTGATAACCGCTGAGTCCACTAAAACACGTTGATCTCCATTCTACCGGCTCCAAGGCTAAGCGTTCGAGGGTGTTATTAGGTATATTGACAACTAAGAAGTTGCTCTTCAGCTTGTCTTTGTATCAAAGCCATGGGTGTCCTACATTGTTGTAGTCCTGACCTAACTGGCTCTACATTTCGATCTTGGGTATCCTGTCATCATACATTCTCAAAACATAACCAGTCCACCGCAACAGAGACTGTATGAGGAAAGTCTCGATTCCTCCAATATTACACCTCTTAAACAGGTCTACATTGGATGTCCTGTCTTTAGGGCTAACTCTACAGATGGCATGCAGACAGTTCATGGTGCCAACAGTAACGGTACCAACATTCGCACTCTGGCTTCAATATTCAAATTCTATTCAAGAGTCATCAAGAGAACGGTAAATAAGTTTAAAAAGAGGGAACAATAGAGAGAAAAAAACTGGGTGAGGAGGTCACAACAGGAAAAGGGATCTTCATTTTAACTTATAACTAAAGAGATCAATTAGAAAAATCAGACTCAAATCATAAGACGTTTGACATGACAGAGAGAAGTTTCAACTATGACAGTCCAAAGAGCAGTGAAAAAAGACTTGAAAATGTAATCGTACGTGAAAGCTGAGAGGCACCTTGTTACTCCAGGACAGAAAGTTAGAAGGTTAGAGAGGGCGAAGATCATCTTTAATAAATTGAAAAATCATCCTGGAATTATATATATATATATATACTTAATTTCAATTCTTCATGAGCTTCTGATCCTTAGCTATGTTTAATTAATGATGACCATGTCATTTTCGTTTATGATCAATTTCATCATGATTCTTCTGTTAAGCTTGGAGAGTAATTTTACATTCTTATTGCTCAAAGTAGAATTCAATAGAGTTATAAAGACATTGGATAATTCCAGTAAGATATCTTTAATCATTTCTAAGATACAACGGTTCAGAGTTTAATCTAACAATTGGACAATTTTACTATTACGCGATTTGGACAATTCTGCTGTTACACCCGGTACTACACACACACACACACACACATATATATATATATATATATACACACAAATGTAAAAGAACGATGAGTAAGATTTCTTTAAGTAAGATTTTTTTAAGCGTTTCACCCCAAGCAAGGCGGAAAGCCACTAGCACGCACGGGGTTACAGAGAGTTGGAACGAGACCAAATAGGAGTGATAGATGAAAGGATGAAGAGAAAGATAGGGGATAGATCAGGGCATCTGGAGACGTCGATTGGCGTTACATTTGAATAGTTGGAGATTATAGCTATCAGGGAAACAGGAAAAGGGGAGGGAGTTCCACAGACGAGAAGTGCGAGACATGAAGCTATTGGAGTAGAAGAGATGGCTACATTTAACAGTTTCGACAGTGAAAGGGTGAGGGCGAGATGCCAGCCTAGTAGAACGCTTAAATTCATGAAGTCTTGGAACCCGCGAAAGCAGCTCATCGGAGCAGTTACCGTGAAAGTATTTGTAAAAAAAGACAGAGGGAAGCGACGGCACGTCTGTGAGAGAGCGACTGCAGATGAGATGTCAGATCAGGGCCAATTACATTGCATATCCGTCTCTGGATCTTATCAAGGATCTTGAGAAAAACAGAAGGGGCTCCAGACCATATATGGCAGCAATACACCATGCAAGAGCGAATGGTTGATTTTTAGATTTGAAGGATCAACTCCGGCGAGAAACATTTCCTGGCGTGGTACAGGGAGCCGACTTTCCTCGCGGTGGACGAAGCTATTGACTCAATATATTTGTTCCATCTCAGGTCAGAAGTTAATGTGAGACCGAGATATTTAATATTCTCCTTCATATTTAATGTTGTGATGAAGCTTAAATGAAAATCGAAACGTTAAATTATAAACGTTTCCTATTTGTTCCTTATCCTATCTTTCTGTTGGAATCTAATCCATATTTGATCTCAATTCATTGTACATTGTACATGTGAATGTAGATAGGATTGATGACGACTCGAAGAGAGCAACGCCAAGGTCATGGAGGAAGGCGAATCAACGTTTTAAAATATTATTGGTTGAACCTCTTCTTTAAAATCTGTCAGTATTTCAGTCAGTTATGTGCTATGAGGATACACCCTTAGGCGACCATGTATCTTTCAAACTTGACTGACGAGGCAGATTTTTTCCCGCAGTAGGTTGCCATTTATTTGCTTTGTACTACTCATTTTAATATTTTAGGCGTTCAGTTCAGAAATTCAGGAGTTCGATTCTCAATTTCTTTCTGCGGTAGACCAGTTTACATCCAAAGCTATAGAATCTGGTCTGTCCGGCCATTTACCCATAGCTAGGGGGATTTTGACTCAATGTATTTGTTCCATCTCAGGTCAGCAGTCAATATGAGACCGAGTAGACTCCAAGAGGACGACTCTTTCTTCGCAGTCTTCATGATTATCAGTCATAGCAGTAGAGCCCGGCGTTGCCCGGGGGTGTAACAGTAAGAGATAGATCAAGTATCGATCATCATAAAGACTGAAAAATAAAATTGACAAAGATTATTGTTTAAGGTTGATAGACGTGCATGTCTTAATTAGTTGTTTTTTTTAAGAATTGGTCAAACCCAAACTCAAACAAAAACATTGTTTTCAATCGTTATGAGTCTACCGATTGAATAGAATTTTATTATAAACAATTGTCTTGTAAATGGGATTTTTAAAGCATTCTGAATGTAAAAATAAAGAAAAAAGTGTGCAAGACAATAAGAAACACTACCTGCCAAAAAAAAATGTGAAGTTTTGTTGAAATCGGTTGAAAAATGTAGGAAATCCGATCCCATATATAAACGAACACACACACACACACATACACACACACACACACACACACACACAAACAAACAACCTGGGTTTTATAATAAGTATAACTCGATATGAGTTGTTCCCCTTTCATTCTCGCGATTAATCGTGTTTTCAAATTGATTTTGTGTAAAAACAATTGTGTTTTTCCAATTTTTGGCGCTTTCAGAACCACCGCAACGTAATTTTACGTAGTCCTGTGAAGTTTTGTCGAAATCGGTTGAAAAATATAGGAAATCCGATCCAATATATAAACGTACAGATACACACCCACACGCACGCACACACACACGCACACATGCACACACACACACACACAACCTGCGTTTTTATAATAAGTATGATTCCTGGTGGCTATGGAATCCTGTGGTATCCTATGTCTTCAGGTATTTGAAAGATGTAGGTTTTTCAAAGGCCAACTCAATGTCCATATTATGAGATGGAACCGCCATAAAGATGCTTTTTCTTAGAGGGATATATTCAGGATGCTAATAACCTGCATAGCAATTAAAACAAATATCTGTGACCTGACCTCAATATTAAGAATATTCTGGTGCAGAAGATCTTGCATTCTCCAGTTTAATACTCTGTCGCCCGTATTAATATATGGCGCTGAAAGGCGTATAATATACATCAACTGACAATTCTTATTTTCTATTTTGCTCCCCACGGACTCCATAGTCCTGAAATATCCCAAACATCGTTCTAAAGTTCCATACCTGGCGAAGGTAATTTGGACAGAAATATAGATTGCTGTTTTATTTGCTGACTCGGACTGTTCCCGTGTGTCGGGAAAGCAATCACGTATAGGACGAGATCTCGTCAGCACTAAAAGGTCATCACGTGAGACTAGCGTTCAACGTACAAGTTTGTTTGTTTTTTTACTTTCCATTTTGTTAAAAATAATTTTCCCGACATTATCTTGACGTTTGTGTCGACAAGAAAAAAAAAAAAAAACAAAACAAAAAAAAACTTCATCGCCATTTGTCTTCCCCCAGCTGTCATTTTTTGTTCGTTTTTATTTCTTCTTCAAAAGTGTGAATATATTGCCTTCCTGGGCTGTTCCAAGACTTGCACAGTCGCACGCTTCTCTCCGCCGCTAGCGTTCGATTCTAGGTAAGAGCCAGGGTTTTTAATTTTATCTTTAAAAGGCAACCAAGTCTTAGCCACTTGAAAAACTTGAAGCAGCACAATCTTTCTAACCCTCTTGCCTCCAATTTAGCCTTGTGTCGAACTAAGTTTTATTGAATAAATCATTAGAATATATAATCTTGTCATAAAATGCATCCACTCATGGCTTAAGGCCATATCACGATGAAACACCGTTTCCCGTAATGATCACCGGTTAAGCAACGTTATGGCTGGTCAGTGTTTAGATTGGTGGTCAATTGAGAATACTAGGTTCTATATGCTTAGAATCGATGTTAGAAACGGCTTACGGGCATATAACATTGAAACACAGGTTCTCGTACGATCACCGAAGTTAAGCAACGTTGAGCCTGGTCAGTACATTGATGGGTAACCGCTTCGGAATACCAGGTGCTGTGAGTTTTGAGGTGCCGGAGAGTAATCTTACAGCCACATCATGTTAGAACACAGATTGCCGTACGATGACTGAAGTTAAGCGACGTCGAGTTTGGTCAGTACCTGGATGGGTAACCGCTTCGGAATACCAGGTGCTGTGCGTTTTGATGTGCGGGAGAGTAATCTTACAGCCACATCATGTTAGAACACCGATTGCCGTACGATCACCGAAGTTAAGTAACGTCCAACCTGGTCAGTACCTGGGTGGGTAACCGCTTCGGAATACCAGGTGCTGTGAGTTTTGATATGCGGGAGAATAATGGCTTACAGCCACATCATGTTAGGACATCGATTGCTGTATGATCACCGAAGTTAAGCAACGTCGAGCCTGAACAATAGCTAGATGGGTTACAGCTGGAGAATACCAGGTGCTGTTATCTGTCAGTATTATAATGGCTCGGAATTCTTAAACGGAGAGCGCAGTTCTAGTTCCCGTTGGGTTCGTTTTATTTATTTACGCACGAATACCATTGGGAAAAGTATGATTTCGCCCCAACTATGGGTTAATTACCAAAACCTGTATCATTAAATTATTATTACCGTCTCTCCAAATCTTCCGATCAAAAATATTTTCTGGCTTTAAATAACCAGCAAACGGTTGATAAGCGGTAGAAAACATATCAGTCAAAGCAATACAAAGGCACCTCTGAATATATATATATATATATATATATATATATATATATATATATATATATATATATATATAATGTGAGGCCCAAAGTTGGGGCCACAGAAGTAAAACACGGAACAGGGATTAGATGTAAGAAAGATATATTAACAACAGGTTACAGAGATAGTGTAAGCGGAGCTTACTATAAGTTAGTGTCCAACACTGGTAGTCGTACTAGACTCTCACTGTCTCTCTGTGTCACTCTCTGGAGTGCGATGTCGCCTACTTAATATAGGCCTGGAAGAGTCTATTGTGTAGGTAGTTCCGGTCTCACAATACCCACCTTCCAAAGAGTTTTCTTTTTGAAAAGGAGAGAAAAAATAAATCTGTTAATACTTTTTCCTCTTGGGATTTACGTCGAGCGGTTGAGTAAATTTCCTTTTCCTTCCTGAGCGTTGCACTTCAGGAGAGACTTGGGGCATGTCGAGATCGAACTAGAGATCTTGATGCGTGAGCCACAGCTTTTCGCGAACCATCTGGCAGTTTATGTAAAATGCAAGCACCAATACCGTACGAGCTTGCATCTCTTGCGACTATGATGTCGAGACTAGGGTGAGGGAGAGGTCTGAAGTAAAAGTTTTCTTGATCTTCTCGAATGCGTCTTGGCATTCCGGGGTCCATGACCATGGTTTGTCCTTTTTAAAAAGTTGGTTGAGAGGCTCTCTCAAATTTTGCATGTTCTTAATGAACCCTTGGTAAAAATTAGCTAGGCCGCGGAAGCTTTGTAACGCTTGAACGTTATCTGGGGCCGGCATGTTTCTGATCGCGTTGGCTCGTATTTGATTGGACTTCTTTTTTACGTAGACCGTAGGTGCTGCTGCAATCTGTTTTTGACAGAATACCTGCTTGTTCGAGTCTATCTGACTCTTTGTTGATTTGCTCTAGAGCAGCGAAAGGGACATTCCGTTTCTTTTTGAATACCGGTTGTGCACCGTCCTTCACCTTGAACTTAGCTTTCATTTTAGTACATTTCCCAAGGCCACCAGAAAAAACCTGGGGAAATTGTTGTTTGAGTTCCTTTTTTAGATTTACCAAATTTGACGTTGTACTTTGTACCTTGCGACAAAATGTACTCATTGGGCAATCCCAAAGATTGAATTTTTTCTATCCAATCTGTTCCAAATAAGTTAACTGAAGTTTTCAATACATAGGCTTTGAGCTTTTTGGTAACTCCATTTAGTGTTACTGTAAGTATTACCTCACCTAAAATGTTAATCTTTTCGCCAGATACGGATTTTGCTGTTTTATCAGTTTTTAATAAGGTCGGCTTGTTCAATTTTCGCCAAGTACGCCAGTTAATGGTTGAAATATCAGAACCCGAGTCAAGCTGGAATTTAATGGACTTATTGAAAATATCCACTGTTACATATTTTCTTAAATTCCTATCAACAATATTGTCAGATTGAGCTTGCCTAATTTTATTTTTGTGTTTTCTCGTTCAATTGGCGTACCAGCACGAAGCTAAAGTATGCCCACTTTTATTGAAATTTTTGCAATATTTTTTGTTCTTAACTGGACCAATGCCATTTCACCCAATGCCATTTACCACAATGGTAACATGGTCCGGGCGGTTTCTTTAACCTATTTGGGTTTTGGTTACTGCGTAATTTAGGACATGAGATTTGCCTTTTGTCTTTTTGAAAGGAATAGGAGGGAGACTTACTTCTGATTTTATTAATCTGAGTCACACCTGATTCCTCGATAGTGTTTGAGTCACGCTTTACAGATATTACTCTTTGACAGTCCTCTGCCAGTTTTTGGAGAGTCAATCCTTGTTCGTTCTCAATCTTGGTCAGTACCCGTCGTCTGACTTCGGCGTCTTCTGCTGATACTAGACCTTGTGCGAAAATCAAGCACTTAAAATCATCGGCAGTCAGTTCGGCTAGTTTAAAATCATTACAGAGCTTGTTTACCGATGCTGCAAACGTTAGAAAATCTTGCTGGTTGTATTTGACTGTGTTCAGGCATTTCCAACGTTTGTGGAACAAGGTTGTGTTAGGCCCGAATAGTTCCGATAGGAGCTTAATCGTCTCTGAAAAATCGTTTTCTTGGGTAGTATGAAGTCTACGAACCTACTATGTTCTGTAGTTCCCAGTTTTCTCAATAGAAGACGTACCTTCTTTTTACTGGACCATTGTTCACAGTTTACGTTGAAAATATCTTCGTAGCGCCTGTAAAAAGCCTGGAACGTTTTGTCTTCCTCTGGTACGTATTCAAAGTTTCCATTGAATTGTAGATTATACCCTGGGAGAATATTGCATCTTTTTCAGAGTTTGAGCCTTTTAATGCATTTACGAGTAATTCTTTAAGTTGTTTCTGTTGTAGTTCAGCATTCTGAAGCGTAATTTGTTGGAATTCCATTTGTTGTTTTTGTAATTCCAAAAATAGTTGTTGTTGTCTTTCTTTTGATTTTTGTTGCTGATCCAAATTTAGTTTTAACATTTGGGCAACTACTTTTTGCAAATCTTCCATATTTAGGCAGAAAAATGACAGCGATTTTTGCTTTGAAACACGTGTACTAAGAGGAGGTACACAAAAAAAATCTTGATAGATTTGTTCTTTTTTTTTTCTTTTACAGAAAAAATATGGACAGACAATAGTTAAACTAAACTAATTATGTGTTTAGCTTTTTTTTCCGTGGTTCCGTTAATTTTGATGTAATGGGATAAATTTTTACCACACTTATGTATTTTTTTTTTTTTTATAGAGTTACAAAAAGAGAATGTGAATTTGAGGGGAGAATAATTATATGCCCGAGTTCAACTCAGTTACATAAAAAAAAAATTTTCTATAGTTTTTTTCGAAAACTTGAGTACAAAGCTTAATTTCACGTTCAACACTGCTGTGGGAACGCGTGGAGTTTGTGTATTTTTCGAGTACTGTCGCTATTGATATGGTGAGAACGAAATTCTCGAATCTTTTTTGTCGCCACTGTCGTGGAACTGGCAAGGTATTGCGGTTTTCGACGTGAATGCGTTTCTAGAATTCTTCGTTGACCCAGATGTGGGATTGGTAAGGTATTTAGGTTTCGCCGTAAGTGCGTTTCTAGAATCCTCGTCGCCACTGATGTGGGGCCAAAGTTGGGATCACAGAAGTAAAACACGGAACACGGATTAGATGTAAGAAAGATATATTAACAACAGGTTACAGAGATAGTGTAAGCGGAGCTTACTATAAGTTAGTGTCCAACACTGGTAGTCGTACTAGACTCTCACTGTCTCTCTGTGTCACTCTCTGTCACTCTCTGGAGTGCGATGTCGCCTACTTAATATAGGCCTGGAAGAGTCTATTGTGTAGGTAGTTTTCGGTCTCACAATAATAAGGCTAAAGGTCAAAAAGCAGTCGTGGCTCTTAGGGCAATGTTCCAAGGTTATCTGAATACTTATATAAGTATCGCTGCGGAACTGAGTGAGTAGCGGCGCTATATAGAGTCTAGTTTATGTCTTCTTCGTCACCGAGGCCCGTGGTACAGTTGGTATGACGTTGTATCGAAACGGTCCGGGTTCGATTCTCGGTAGTGGATGTGCACTGCTGATGAGTCCCAAAAAGGATGAAACGGCCGTCCAGTGCTTTCTGCATTCCGTTGAGGATTATTCTAGGTTTGACCAATTACTATAAGATTTGCCTAAACCTCCAAAATAATAACTTATATATATATATATATATATATATAGTAGCGTCCAAAAGTAAGGGACAAAATTTTAAAACCTAATATTTGTTAGAAGTAACAACTGTGAAAAGCTGAAATTTTGACAACTGGTAGTCGTTATCATCCATAATAACATACTAAAATTTGAATCATTTGCAAAGGATAGAAAAAGAATTATAACAATTATTTATTTATTTTCAAAATAGGATCGTCCAAAAGTAAGGGACAACATTTGGACGCTACTGTATATATATATGTATGCGTGTGTGTGTGTATGTATGTATATTCACCCTATGTGTCACTAGAACGCAAAAAGACGAACACTGCCGGACATGAAATTGTGGAGAGCCATAATCACCTTTCGAACGAGGGGACGTGGCACATAGAATACCTAGAGACACAAAAAAGACAGAAATTAGAATATCTGGGAAATGTTTTAAAAGATGACGGAGATTGTGACACTGAAATCCGAGGACGCTTCCGGATAGCGAAAGATGCCTTCCAGAAGCTAAACAACATATTAAAAAAAACAGAAAAATTATGTTAGTAACACACTAAAGATTGCAGAACTACTATGTAATATCAGTTTTGTTATATGACAGTGAGTATTACTGATCAACATTTGCCAGGTTATTCACTGTCGTATACTCGCGTTTGGATAAATTGTTATGCATAGGTTTGGACGACAGGAGAGTAACAAATTGTAGACCTAGGTTTGGTTTGTGCACGATTTAAAAAGGTTGACAGATTTTTTTTATTATTCGGTCATGCTATAAGATTGGTGTGCTTGAGACTAGAACAGGTTGACATGGTTTTGGTGTTACAGAGAATCAAAAAGGTTGACATGGGTTTGGGTTCCATGAGAGTCAAAAAGGTTGACATGGGTTTGGGTTCCATGAGAGTCAAAAAGGTTGACATGGGTTTGGGTTCCATGAGAGTCAAAAAGGTTGACATGGGTTTTTGTTGGCCGAGAGTCAAAAATGTTGATATCGGCTTGGTTTGCACGAGAGTAAAAAAGACCGACATAGGTTTGGTTTGCATGAAAAAAAATGTAGACATAGGTTTTTTTCTTTCCCGAGAATGAAAAAATTGACATAAGTTTGGTTTGAACGAGATTAAAAAAGGTAGACATAAGTTTAGTTCGCCCAAGAGACAAATAACTTGAAATAGCTTTGACGTAACCGAGAGTAAAAATATTGACATTGGTTTAGTTTGCGTGAGAGACGAGAAGGTTGACAATGGTTTCGGTTTGGTTGACAACCAGAAAGGTAGACAAATGTTTGGTTTGTATGAATGTCAAAAAGGT